CAAACAAACAGAAAATTCAGATTCTGCCGTTCTTTTCTCATCAGTTTAACTAGAATGGATTTAAACACTGAGATTTTAAAAGTGTATTTTCCATTAGGTGGTGAGAGAGACTCAACTCAGCATTATCAGAATAGAAAGAAAAAGCTAAAATCATTATTTATGCCACCACTTTGAAATTAGCTCATTCTCAAAAAGAAAGCGATGGTCTCGTCTGTGGGAATCAGTTGGTCCTAGCACCATGGCCTATCATATATGTCCAGACTGTCTCCTCAACAACTTTAACTAAGACAAGACAGTTGCTATGCTTTGGACTACAAATTCAGTTTGCAAGTAATTCTTATCATGTCGAGAAAAAAAAAAAAGAAAAAAACTATCAAAAAACACCCCCAGAAAACTCTGAAAATAATACAGCCTACATGTACATATATAATAGTTGGCAAGGAAGAATTTCCCTTCTGAATGAGAGATACTTCAGTGCTTTCCAAGCCAGTCCACAATAAGGACAATGCTATTTTTTAAAATCCTATTCCTTGTTTTTATTGCACATGACATTTTACATTGTACTGTAGAGTACGTGGTGATGAGAAATTCCCCAGTTATCTAATTGTGATCCTTCAAAGGATTTGAAAGGGAGGCACTTTATTTCCATTTCTTTAATTTACTAGTTCTTTAGCTGATGATTTTATTAACCCTTATGTTTGAGAACTGATGCTTAACAAAAAAAGAAGAAGAAAAGGCCCTTGGCAGTATTGTGAGGGCCTGGAACTGAATAATGCACTTTAATAATGAGGGATAGAGCTATGGCTTTTGCTGATGGCTGTGACCGGCTCTGTGACCTGATTATGTCGCAGAGTGTCAGCAGCTGAGACACTACAAAAGGGAGAGCATCCCATCAAATCTATCTCCATTGTAATCACTCGCTCTGCTGAGAGGCTTGTTAGGAGCAGGGAATCCATCAGGCCTCATTAGCACCATTTACCATCAAGAAGCTCAAAGAGCAAACGTGTACCCTCTCATCAGAATAATGAGAACCAAAGTACTCCTATTATCTAATTGGATCAACAATGCCTCTCTCTCCATTTAGTTTTCTAAGCTACTTGTAGACTACAACTCTCAAAAATTAGTTATGTTTGTTAATTGCTGGGGTAGAACTTTTCAAGGTTTTTCATATACAGAAGGTTTTTGTATCTAAAGAGCAAGCCATGGGCACAATGAAGGCCGAGTTCCTTCAAGGGCGTGCTTGGATTCTATGGATGCTATCTCTGCTAGATTTCCTGTTCAACTGAAATATGCACTGTGCAATTACACCACACTTAAACTCTTCTTAGTAACTATCAGGAAATGCAATATACTGCTCTCTTTAAGCACAGAACAATTCAGAACATCAACAGCTCTTGTCATATTACTTTTTAACTCCATAAGGTAAAAATGGTATTTTGCAATTGTTGAATTAGGATTAATTTTTTTCCCCTAATTAAACAGCTCACATCTTTCTAAAAATGAAACCGATCTTACTCATCAACCTTGGTTAAATGTATTTGATTCTGCTGATGTCAAAAGATTTAAATGAATGCAACTGATAGACTTATGTTTTAGTCAAGCAGAAAACTTGCTTGCAGGTAGCATTTATAGAATCCAGGAGCATCAGCCATGTTTCCATGTTTTTATCAATCCATCTCTTTACAACGGAGCTAAAAAACCCAGCTGAAATAAACATATAACATAGTTAATAGACACAGGAAACACACTCAAGCCCCTTAATATTTCCATTGATTTGCAGATAAAAATAGAGGGGTTTCTCATTCCTATAAAGAATTCAAGTGCAGAAATGGAACTACTATGATCCTACTGTAAGGGCAGGCTGAAGCTGAAGGGTGGACAGCTTCACTCTGAAATTAGAGTGTATCAACTGACAAGGTAGATTCTGGCATTTCTGCTACCCTTGCCTTTATGCTTAATATATAAAAGTCCAGTCCTGCAAATGCTTTCTGGAAAGTGCTGAGGGCAAACAGAATATAAGTAGTGTTACATGGGCCAATAGCTCTTCATAATACGCCTCTGAAAATGAACATTTGATTTAGAGTCTTCTATCTGTACCGTATCAAATTAATCAGGTGATCTGGACATATTATTCCAATGGATTAGATCTTCTTTTACAGTGGTCTTTGAGAGCTCTGGTATTAAAGTTCATATTGCCACCCAAAGGATAAAGAAATCATATAATCACTGCGCAAACAAGAATGAAAATATTAACAAGTACACAGCATAAATATTTGTTAAATATATATATAATTTTTTTATTGAGAATGTAAGAACTCTTCGGCCATTGGGTATTAAGGCCATGACATATGTCATTTAAAAGATAATTTCCCTAAATTTGCCATAGAATCTTTGATTTGACCTACAGCTTTCTGTCTCCTGGGTTTATTGATCATGTATTTAGGCAGACAGACGGACATTTATAAGCCCAACTTTCTACAAAAGGAGCAGCATATAGTTACAAAGACTGCACATACAAACAGTCTGATAAGTCGCCCAGCCTTATAGTAGCAGAAAGGAATTTTAGGTGTCTCACTTGCCTCTTTAAAGAAGGCAATGTTCGAAGAGCAGATTCTTAACATATCATGGAAATACAGCTCCTTAATGAGTTCCAAAAAGATCATTCACAAATTGAGGCATCCCAAGTTACCATTCACTTATGTTCTCAATTTTGAAGAAACAAAATATTAGTTTCAATAGTTTTATTTAATTTGCAAGGAATGTGATTTAATTTATGGAATGTAATTTAAATGTACCGAATAGTCTATTTTTGCAGACAGATAATTTCAGAAGAATGCCATAAGCAATATAATTTTATGCTGGATATTACAAAAATCAGTGTTACTTTACCTACTTAATATTTATTTATACTGCAGTGAGGTCTGCAGTACTGATTATAAATCAAGAAACATCTGTAAAAATAAGTAATAAAAAGACAACTCTTATTTAAAGGAGCTAGTCAGTCAGATTCTGTAGTTTCACCCAAAAATAGTGGAAGATTCTTCCTTTCTCTGCAACTTGTAGAATTATTGGACTTCATATTATATGTGGAATAAACTAGACTCAGTCTGATGGAATCTGTAGTTTCATTTGGTGATACAGTGACAGTAGGAACTTTTTTTTTAAACATGCAATGAATGTCTACCCTTTATTTATGTTTTCCAGGGAGAACATATAAAGGAAAAGCTACTGAGTAACTAGTCTGGGTTTTCATCTTCAGCTCTTACAGTGAACAGTTTTGGTGCCAAGTGTCTCACGTGAGTGGTGACTGTGAACCATTTCTGGAGCACGGATAGAAACAAGCAGGTTTGTAGGTTGGAGCTGATCTGAGTATGAGTTATAGGTATTATAACCAACTTCTCTTCCAAACCAATACCCCATCCCTCCAGAAATCTTAATAGGCTTTTGAGAGCCTCCATTTAAAGCTGGCTGCATAAAATGATCCTTTGATGAAAAGGGATTGAAACAAGGGTTAAAGTAGACATTGAAAGGTTATTGTAGAGGGCACATTGTTCATACAATCCTCCTTTAATATGTGTGGTGTGCACCTGCGATAAGATGATTCATTAGATAAGGCCTCACTTTGACAAGCTCCATCGTTCAACCCTCGGGGTAGTGATGGAACAATTCTGCACCCACCCAGTAAATATAACAAGGTCAGCATTTTTTTTTTCCCTGGGACTTGGATGGGGATAGTGAAGCTCAGGATGCATCTTTGTTTGTGTGTTATGCTAAAAAAAAGTGGCACATTCTATAAAATGCTGTCTTTGAATTTTAACAGGCAAAATTTGAAAACACACCCTCTTTTCCAATTAAATAACATGACAATATAAAATTATCAGGAAAAAAACCATACTTTTTGTGGGTTGCTTTTTTTTTTTTTTTTTTTTCTTTCTTTCCCTATAGTAGATAGAGAGTAGAAACTAAACTTGCACATATCACACAAGTTGCATCCCTGCAATAATTGTTTACCAGGGCCTAACAACCACATAAGTACTCCTGGAGACCTGGACACCTAATTCACTAGGCTTAGAATAATGACTGACAAATTACTCAGTGATCTGCTCCAGTCTTGAGTTACAATGGCAGATTTGCTACAGAGATTTAATGCAAAATGTGGTTGTGTTAATTTCATTTCTACTAAATGAAATAAAGAATGACAGTGGCTACAATACGAAAACTACTTAAGCATGTTGCATTAATAGAATTATGTACATATATGAACTCAGATGCATATATTTCTGCATCATACTGAGACCAAAACTGAAATACTTCATAACAAATAAAAATATCTCAAGCAATACACAATTTATATTTTAGAAACTCAACAAACTTTGCTCAAATTTTTGTTCAGAAAATTTTACAACAGAAGTTTCTTCCATCACAGACTGGTAGATTCATTGCAAACTGCTTAATTCAGTTAATCAGCAAAGAAGAAAGCCACCCAGTTAAATCCATCACGGATATCTCATTAAAATTTCATTTGTGTTCCTTTACAGAAAGTGTTTAATATCTTTATAGAAATGCTTCACAGTGAAGTAATACCAAAATGCTACAGTTTACAGCAAGTCTTGTCTTAATAGCACAGTAGCATATTAATATAGTTGTCTGTTACTATACCTACACAAGTGGAAGAAGACATCTGGTTCATTTATTGAGATTCACAGGGTTACTGGACTTTCAAATACTGTATTATTGCAATACTGTGATGTTTTCAAAAGGTTGGATTTGAAAACAAAACAAAACAATCTCTAATCCTTTCCTAGCTTTAAAAGGGCTTCCATCAGCTCCTAACTTATTTCCACTTCTCAGACTTCCCATTTCTTCCCCTGTCTGGCAAATCAATATTTATTTACCTTCAATATGTGCACTTTTAAATCGCTGTCATACAAACGGAACTCATTTTGGTCCCAAGATCGCTCTGCCATCAGAATTCACTGCTTCCTCCATCTTCTACTCACCTGTCCTTGTGCATTAGTGACGAGTTGACCTGTGACCCCCTGAAGACTGGAGAGGGCATTGCCAAAGGCCTGGGAGCTTGCTATTGAGCCCATGGCTGCTGCTGCTGCAGCCGCTGCTGCTTGACTTGCTAGTGGATTGTTAACCAGCTGAAAAGAAGAAAGAAAAGATCGTGGAGAAACCCTTGACAAACACAGAAACACAGAGTGCTAACTGAATAAAATAAAGGCGATTGTGCTCACACGGGGAAAAATAATCTGTCTGCTCTAAGAGCTTGGGTAGTTTTGAGGGGTTCTTATTTTTCTGGTTCTTGTCTCATTGAGAATGAATGGTTTCAAAACAACCCAGAGGAAGTTAAAACTGAAGGATAAATCTCCCTCTTTAAAAAATAAATAAATAAATAAAAATTTTCTTTTTTCTTGAGTTCTGCCTGTTGTATTTCTTTAGGTTCTACATTTTAATGTCACAGATGTAGCAGTTTAACACTTCAGTTAACATCAATTAGTGAAAAATCAGCATTTTATTTGAATGGGAATGGGGTATTTGCTTGGGTATATTCAGAAGAGCGACTAACTAAGGTCCCCAAACTGAAGAAAACCTGAAGCTGCTTTAAATTTATATGATTAATGATCTGGTCTCAACATCTAGGTAAATCTTAGCATGAGTCTCAACTCTGTGATTAAGTTCAGTAGAAATCAACTACATATTCAGAAATGTCTATTGTGGATTGCAAAATCTGTTGAAAAGATGCTAACCAACTTGCTGTTTGTCGACTGCAAATGATTAAGACTGACATAAATTTTCAGCAAATGAGTTGTAACGCCCAGTTCAGCCTGGTTTACCTGGTTTGCCCATATAAAGCAGAGAGCACACTCATGGCTTTACTCTTTGGAGATAATGGGAATCCCACAGAGGAACATTTCCATCACCACTTAAGTTTATCAAACACGTGAAAGGTGTGTTCCCCTGTCAGAATGAAATGTCCTTTGAGAGATGCCTTGCTCACTGGATCATTTTATATTTTACATTTTCTCATCCCCTGCTGATAATGAACAAATTTTCAAAAAAATGCTGGGAACATTTCCTTAGGCTGATGTGAAAATGCAGAAGCTAACTGAGAAAACCTTGACATTTGAGATCAAATTAAAAGGGGTTCCAAGTCTTTACACGAAAAGAAAATTTACAATCCTATAGAAGTGCAAAGTCACGGACTCAGTTAGGGATGTGATCCACAGACAGGCTCTGCTTCAAAATAGATTATAAAAAATTAACCAGTGATTAGAAGATGTTTTAAGCATGTTACAGATATGAGTAGTGTGCATGTTATTGATGTTTAGAAGCTCATCAGTAGAAGATGTCAGATATGGTTATAATCTATGCTTATAAGAAACGTACTTGTCTGTTGAACGTTATGAAATCTACAACAATTGATTGGTCATACATTAAAACATCTATTAATCATTCATTAGCCCTTCATGAAGTATTTATAAATGGAACCTTGATATAAAGTGTTGCCTAAAGGGGTGCCTTGGGCACATCCAATCCCTCTAGAAATTGTAAAGTAAATAACTAAATAAAGATTAACAGCAGTGCTAGACAGAAAAGATGACACTGTTGGTGGAAGTGTTTTGATTTGGAAAGAATTGTTATATGTATCTCCAAAACCAGTCCGCTGTACCCCATGGCAAGAAAATCAAGCAGGGATAAAGTACAAAGGGGGAAACTGCAAAAACTACTTGATTAGGAGTCTTGAGAAACTGCAGAAAAAAAGCAAAGATGAGCACAACCACCGAAGCAAAGTTCAGTCTCTGAGTATAGAGTGCAGACAATTCCATTGCCTGTACAAGATGTGAGGCCAGATGGAGGTGAGCACAGAAGATAAAGATGGCAGAATTGGTAAATCTGTCTATTTCTTGTTCAAAACAGAGGCGTGTATTTATTTCCCAAATTAGAAGCTGGTAAATTCTGTCTTGCTCTACACCACTTTGTGGCCAGCAGTGGGACTTGGAGTAACTACCTTCCAGCTGTAAATATTTGGAGAAGAAAGAGGCAGCAGCCAGACTTTCAGAAAAGGCCTTCCACTGTCTCAGTTGACACCCACAAATTTCTGCTTCTATGATAGTACAGCATCTGACTGTAAGTATAAATCATCTTTGCATGTTTATGTGATATCAGCTAATAAGGTACATCAGCTGCTATAGTTTGCCTCTTCAGCTGCATATAGGAAATTCTTTGGGGAGCATAAGTAAACTTGTGAATCTGGAAGCTACAAAGGGTTAAAACCTTTTAAAAATCAGACTATTATCTCCTAGAATCTCCTTTTCATTTTTTTTCCCTCCAGTTTTCAAAAACTGTACATTTTCAAATACAACAATAAAATTTAATTACAGCAAACCCTGGAGACACTCAGGATTGCTTTTAGTTGCATCATAGAGATAAGCTACTTATTAAAAATGATGGCAGAAGCTATGATATGCATAGGTTCCCTGGGTAGTACTATGTTCCAGGAAAAATCACAGTGAATGGGCCAGCTCACAGGATAAGAGTCTTCCAAATGCATATAAAAACATCCCTATCTATTCAAAAGCCTGATTAAAAAGAGAAGACACATTTTTCTTTGAGTGTTTTGAAAGCCGCTGACTGCAAGTTACACTCCGCTAAATTGACCCCTTCTATATCAAGTGCTAATTGGGCACGGAGAAATCAATCTAATTTCATTACATCTGGACCTCAAGGCAACTTCTGACATATTTTATCTTGCTCTTAGTTTAAATATAAAATCTCTGACTTTATTTATTCCGTTTCTCAACACAGGTTGGATCCCTGAGAACAATTACTAGAAATATAAAGATGAAAGATTCCACAAGAGGATCTTCTTATTTTGTTTCTGTTTTTGAAGAATGATTTCATTTCGAAAGCTGTGATCTTTGGAGCCATCAGTTCCAGTGCCAAAGCTTCTGCTCCCACTCAAAACACCAACTATAACAGAGATCTTAGAGGTATAGACCAGTTTTCTCAAGGATGCCTCTGTTAATTACATGATCACTTGGAGCAGTAAACTTTATAAGGAAGGATCTTATAATAACCGAGTAGCTTCAGTGCATTTTTCTGACTTCACAAAGTAGAACCTGTAAAGGAAAATTGTTTTGCTCTAGCATGGTGTAGAGTAGGAGACAGTCTGCTCCAGGAAATGGAATGCACACAAATAAAACTACCCTATATAACGATGGGGAAATGAGAGGGGCACTACTTTAAAGATCCAAAACCTGACACGTGATGTAAGATTTCTTTATAGTCTTCTTAAGGCACAATTTCAAGAGAAGTGGGGTAGAGTCATGGCAGAAAGCAGCTTACTGAGAGCAATAATTACTTTTTTCTTCTGGAATAATGTCTTTTCCCTTTTTTTTTTTTTTTTTTTTTTTTTTTTTTTTTCCCCAAAGCCAAATACATATCTTGGTGAATTTGCTGTGAGAAACTGAACAACTGTTCGTGTATTGTTGAATACAACAGCATTTGGATTTGATAGCCTAGGCAGTAATTTTACATTTCTCTTTAAAGTGCTTTTATATCCAGACTGTGTGAAAAATGAACATAGAAATTAAATCTTTATTAGCATTGCATTTCCTTTCATAGGAACCCTTAACTAACAACTTATGTGAATTTCATGTTTAGAATATGAGAAGAACTACACAATAGAGCAGTTGTCTACCCTGTAATACTTGGAGGATCCCAGATTGGAACATATGGGTATTTCACGATTCTCCACAGTTGCAGCCTGTAGACAGCCCATGCCAGAGCAGGGAAAGGTGTGCAGAGGAAGGAGCTGTTACAGGCTGACTGTAGCCCCTTGACCCTTGCAGCATTGGCTGGTGGAGGCAGGAATGCAGGAGCAGAGATGAGCCTGGTGTGGTGGGGAAGAAAGATGCTGCTTTAGAGTTTGCCGTTTTGTTTCTCACAATCCAGGTACACTTTCACTGGTAATAAATTTTCCACAGGTTGATGATCAGGGGGCTGGAGCACTTCCCCTAAGAGGACAGGCTGAAGACCTCTTCAGCCTAGAAAAGAGAAGACTCCAAGGAGACCTTATAGCAGCCTTCCAATACCTGAAGGGGACCTAAAGGAAAGCTGAGGAGGGACATTAAATAAGGGCATGCAGCAACAGGATGAGGGTAAATGGATTCAAACTGGAAGAGGGTAGATTTAGACTAGATATTAGGAAGATATTCTTTGCTGTGAGGGTGGTGAGACAGGTTGCCCAGTGAGGTTTTGTATGCCTCTACCCTGGAAACATTCAAGGCCAGGCTGGATGGGGCTGTGAGTAACCTGATCTAGTGGGAGATATCCCTGCCTATGGCAGGGGGTTGGAACTAGAGGATCTTAAGGGTCTCTTCCACCCCAACCATTCTGTCATTCTAAGTTGAGTCTGCTTTGTCCATTAGAGTAATTGGTGAGCAGTCTCCCAGTCTCTATCCTGACCCATGGGCTTTCTCATCTTATTTTTCCCCACATCCCACTGAGAAGATGGATGAGCAGTTGGGTGGGTGACTGGCTGTTAGCAGAAGCTAACCCAGCATGGCATCCCTGCCAGTAACTGCACACTGTATCTAATAACAGCAGCACAAAAATATCTTCAACACCTTGCAGGCATAGAAGCAGAGCATTCCAACCAAGATGCCCATATACTCAGTTTCTAAACATAAATGAGTTAATGAAAAAGCACAGTTTCCCTGGATGTTCCTAGTGGCTTTTCTGGTAAATTCACTGCATAGTATTGATGGTTGTATTCCTAATTGTTTTAAATACGTGTGTATACCTTCCAACAATTAATAGCTCTCTAGACAGGAAAGAATTAAATTCCTGAAGGAATTTTAAAAAAAGACACAGGGAAGACTGCTTCAACTTAATCCTGGGAAAGCACTGAGACGTTACAGGGATGAGTAGCAAGTAAATATTTATAATAATCATCAATAAGAACGCCACTTATTTATTATATAGAGATTGCAGATAAATCTTCAACTGTGGATGCTTGCACTCTGTCAGTTTATCGTTAGTTTTATGCAAAAATAAGTCAAATTTTCAAGAAAGTTATGAGCAGGCAGATCCCAAGAAATGCAAGCAAGAATCAGTAAGTAACATAGAATAAAACAAG